ATATATATATATATATATATATATATATATATATATATTTGTTGGCTGATTAAAAAAAAAAAAAAGTTGCGATGGTGTTTAATGTAGTCACACTCATTCATGAACTTGTTGTTAACGAGTCAATATTAATGAAGTCGTTTTGTGAAATAAAATAAAACAAAACATGACATATATAAGGAGGAGTTCTTAGAGCATTGAAGGATATCAAATACAATCACTAATAAATATACTCATAACTTAACTCAACTTCTACTTTTTTTGAAACTCGTGCCATTTGTTGCAAATCTTGTTTAATACCTAATATACTGTGTTCTTGAATGGCATCAATGGTGAAAGCAATGGATTCCAATGATGGGGAATTAGCCAGCAAATATTGTATGAAGTTCAGTGTATTCCTACAGACTTTGTATACATTGATACTCACAGTCTGAAGCTGACTAAGGCAACAACTATTGTATTTCGACACCTCCAATGTGTGTGGTTGTTCCATCACGTTGCTGGTATAACGACTCTAAAAAAAAGAATATGAAGTAAAAAAGTCAAAATATATGACAAATACAAAAACAAACTAATTAAAAGCAGTGGTTGGGTCACCTCTATTAAAAGTTCCTTTAGGTTGGGAGAACTTTTAAGTAAAGAAATAACAAATAAGATCTCCCTTGAGTTGCAGAAATTCACAGAATCTAATTCTAGATATTTTAAGGTGTTGAATGATGTTTGTAGCCCCTTTGGAAGAAAACCTGCTTCAGAGAAGATCTATATAAAAACAAACATAAAATTTGTGAGATGTATTTGTTTATGTGCAACTAGAAAATAAACAACATTCTAAGTAGAAGACAAGCTAGGCACCAAATTAAAATTTGCAAAATTGCAACTATGTTTCTTTTTCAGACCAATGATAGATAACAACCTTACAAAATCAAATCATGTGATCATGTTAAATAGGAGGATGTGCAAAACTATCAAAATAAAACCATATTATTTATTATGTACTATTTACTCATTTGTTTCATTTATGTACATTCCCTTGTAGAAAAATTACTGTGTAGAATTCTCTAACTAGAAAGAAAGGTATATGTATATATATATCAACTAATTAATAAATTACTATGTTGTTCTATAGTTTTAGATAAAAAAAAAGAAAATACCAAACTAACATAAAGGCCGACAAATATCATGTTTGATAAATAATAATAAATAATCACACATCAATGTTTTTGGTTTCTAACCTGGATGTAGCCCTCTCCAAGACAAATGCTTTCAATTTTCGACAAGCCTTTTATCAAATTAGTTACTGTGTCTCTCTCAAAGTTATTCCCAGGTTGATCATTCATGAGCGAAAGATGAGTCATATTCTTTGCTTTCTCCAAACAAATTGATTTGATAAATTCATCACCACTTACACGCAAGTCTTTGAGAGTAGGAGAGCAGATATTAATACACTCAAAGCCAGAACAATATGAAATGGTGAGTATTACAAGTGATGGACAAACAAACATAAGGCTTTGAAGTGCATTGGACTCAAATATAATATCATCTAGAATAAGGGTGAACATACTTTTAAACCCACCAAAATTAGGCACAAATGATAGTTTAAAATTGTAAAGTTCAAGGTGAGTCAATAGATTACAAGAGAATATGTGAGATGGTGTTTGAAAAGGCACATTTTGTAGGTTCACAATCTTAAGAAATTTAATCCCTTTTCCAGATAAAAGGTTAATCCACTTGTTGAGGCATTCCATTTTGATTGGGAAGTTTTTAGGGATGTAAAGGGTAAACTTCACTATTGGGCCACTATGGAGTAAAAGAATTTGGGTAATAACACTTGAGGTTTCATGGAATTCAAGATGCTTGCATTTTTCAAAAAAATCATTTTCAAACGCAAGTTGTGGAACTGAAGTCCACTTATACCTCCAACCCCTGGATAATATGCTGGTCCTAATCAAGTCTTGGATGGACAATTTTGATAGGATGCTATCAGTTAAATTACTTGGTAAGTAACTGATTTGATCATTGTGGTGAGCATGTCCTTCCTTCTCGTACCGAGTCATTATACAATTAACTAGAAATTCAAGCATAGAGTAAATTGAATCATTAACATTGTAAAAGTTCAAAAACAATTAATTATGAGAATACTAATACTAGGATGCCAACTTTAATATAGTAATGTAATGACTTAATTGCGTTTTTAATTTCTCAAGTATTACAATTGTGTAATTTTAATTTCCAAGATTGTAATTGGGTAATTTTAGTCTCTAAAAGATTGTAATTGTGTGATTTTAATCCTTTTAATTGAACAATTTTAATCTCTCAAATATCATAATTGTACGATTTTAGTTTCTCCCATTAAAAATCTAATAATTTTAATATATATATATATATATATACACAATATTTTAAAATTATACAAATATTTGTCTATTCAAGTTAACGTATATTATATTTTTTTGGTTAATGTATCAAATTATATATATTTATTATTATTAAATAAATAAAATTTATATATTATTATTTTTATAATATTACAGATAAATTAATATCAATAATATT